ATGTGGTTCAGTGGTAGAGCACTTTCCTAGCATGTGAAAGGCCCTGGGTTCAATTCCCAGAACCTTAAAGAAAAGTTCAACTATGTTTAGAAACATTCCCAAAATGGGACTTCCAATAGTTTCTTGTGATCCTTTAAAAGATAAATTGATTTTTGCAAAAAACATAACATGTAAAATCACCCAGAGACTATTTCACCATATTTGTCTAATTTTATTGCCTTCTAGAGAACATCATCTATTATACAATTAGTCTGAATATTTTATAAAACACTTTCATTTATAAAGCATCATGATGAAAATGGAACATTCAAGTCTTGGTTAAGGTGATACCTGCCAGGTTTCTCTACTGCAAAATTACTTTTATTTTTTCACTTTGCATAGTCTTTTCAGGAGAAGCAATTCCCTAAGAGCAGCTCACATTCAAAAGGAGGAGAGTATTTAAGCCCCATATCTTAAAGGGATAAGAATCAAATATTTTTAAAATATATTTTTAGTTGTTGATAGACCTTTATTTTATGTATTTATTTATACGCAGTGCTGAGAATTGAACCCAGTGCCTCACACATGCTAAGAAGTGCTCTACCACTAAGCTACAACTCCAGTCTAAGAATCAAATATTTAATATATATTTTGGAGGTGAGACTTTAAGGCTGTATAACTATCATGTTTCACCTTAAAGTTTTGCTCACTAGTTTTAGCATTTAGTGAATTCCCCCCAGCTACTTGGAATTGAACCAAGGGCCTCAGGCATATTAGAGAAGTGCTCAACTACTGAGCTACATACCCAGCCCCTTTTATTTATTTATTTATTTATTTATTTATTTATTTATTTATTTATTTTGTGGTAGGATCTAAATTGCTGAGGCTGATCCTCCTGGCTCAGCCTCCCAAGTACCTGGGATTACAGGTGTGTGCTAATGTGCTTGCTCTGCAGCAATTGTTATGGTGGGATTCTTTTTTTTTTTTTATATCTTAGGATTGAACCCAGGGGTGCTTAATAACTGAACTGCAGTCCTTTCTCTTTTTTATTTTGAGACATGGTCTTGCTAAGTTGCTTAGTGCCTCACTATGTTGCTGAGCCTGGCTTGAATTTGAGATTTTCCTGCCTCAGTTTTCCAAATTGATGGGATTATAGGCATGCACCACTGAACTGGCTTAATATAATGGTATTCTAAAAGGAAGTTTTCTACTTTTCTAATTCCTTCTACATGTAGTTTCTGGAATTCTTTTTTTTTTGGGGGGGTAGTGCTGTGGCTAGAGCTCAGGGCTGTGTGAACTCATAGTTAGGTGTATGTACAAATATGAAACAACATATCCCACCATTAAGTACACCTATAATGTACTAAGAAAAAATTTCAAATGGGCTGGGGTGTAGCTCAGTGGTAAAGTGCCCTTGGGTTCAATCTCCAGTTCTGGAAAAAAAAAAGAAAGAAAACAAAAGGAAATAAACCAAGATCTGGGCATTTTTTTTTTTCCTTCTCAGTGGACAGACTGAGAACCTTTCAGGAGATATCAAGAACATATGACAACTAAAATGCAACATAGTATCTGTAGTAGGGAGCTTCTAAGATGTCCCTCAGTGGTCCCTCCTACTGATATTCATGGTCTAGTGTAATCCCCTCCCCTTGAGTAACTTGATTCAAACCAACAGATTGCTTTAATATGGAGGGGATGTCACTTCCATGATTAGATTATATGAGATTGGAACTTCTGTTTTAATTTCTGACTCTCTTGTTGGCTTTTTTTTTTTAAAAAAAATATTCTTAGGGCTGGGGATGTGGCTCAAGCGGTAGCGCGCTCGCCTGGCATGCGTGCGGCCCGGGTTCGATCCTCAGCACCACATACCAACAAAGATGTTGTGTCCGCCAAGAACTAAAAAGTAAATATTAAAAATTCTCTCTCTCTCTCCTCTCTCACTCTCTCTTTAAAAAAAAAATAATAAAAGTCTCTGTAACTAATTAGAACAAATTAAATTGTATTTATTAAAAAAATATTCTTAAGTTTTAGGTGGACACTATCTTTATTTAACCCAGTGCCTGGTGCATGCTAGGCGAGCACACTACCACTGAGCCACAACCCTAGCCCCTCTCTTGTTGGCTTTGATGAAGTAAACTACCATGCTTTGTGAGATGCCTTACACAAAGGCAAACATGGCAAGGACTGACGCATCTCTGGCTGACAGCCATCAAGGAACTGGGGCCCACCATTCGACAGGCTGCACAGAACTGAATCCTGCCAACAACCAGAGGCATGTGGGCCTGATCCCTTCCCAGTCACACTTGTAGATGATTCCTCAGTTCAATCCAATACCTTCTTTGTGCCCTAAAGAGAGGCTCTGAAGCTTAGGACCCAGGTGAGTCCAGCATGAATTCCTAGCCCATGAAGCATGAGAGATAATGAATATGTTTTTTTTTTTTTAGCCACTAAGATTATGATCATTTGTTACCCAGGAATAGATAACTACTGTATTATCCTTACTTGGATCCTATTACAGAAAAGATATTAGTGGGAAAATCCACGAAACTCAAATAGTCTGAAACTGAGCTAAATGTACTCTATAAATGCTATTTTTCTTAGCATTGATGAATATGCCATATGGGGGTGGGGGAGATCTGGAATGTAGTTCAGTGGTAGAGCACTTGCTTAGCATGGTCAAGACCCTAAATGCTCCCCAGCACCCCACAAAGTGTTACCATAGTTAAGTAAAATTAACATTAGGGGGAGGTAGGTGATTGGTATGGGATCTCTGAGGGCTTTGCAACTCTTTGGTAAATCTAAAATTATTTCAGAATAAAAACTAAAGAGGTTTGTGGAAGTAGATCATTAGTAGAGTGTTTGCCTAGCATGCTCAAGGCCAGAAGGGGGAGTGAGGAGGAAGGGAGGAAAAGAAAGGGAAAGGAAAGGAAATAAAAGAAAAGAAGCCACTTCTGGGTGTTATATGTTATGTTTATAAGAAAGAGATTACACCAAAGTTGAGGAGAAAAACAATAAAGGTATCAGGTGTCAGCAGTCTGGTGATAGGGACTCAATGACTAGCTCTGAGGGGTTGCAGAAACAGATTAGAAAGAGGTATCAAGTGTGGTGGACACAGTGTGGTGGGGGGAAGTCACAGTGACTAAGTCCTGTTTGAACCCTCAGGGGTCAGTCTGATGGGGAGTCTTAGTTCTGTTGAGGAAATTTCCTCACATTCTGTTGAGGAAATTGCTGGGATAAAGCCTGATGTTTCTCCTGGGTGTCAGAGTCGAGTCTGGCTGAGGAATTCCAAGAAAAATGGTTTTTTGTTTTGTTTTTTTGGTACTGGGTACTGAACGTAGGGGCACTCAACCACTGAGACACACCCCAGCCCTTTTTTATATTTTTAAATTCACAGACAGGGTCTTGCTGAGTTGCTATAAGCCTCACTAAATTGCTGAGGCTGGCTTTGAACCTGTGATCCTCCTGCCTCAGCCTCTGAGCCACTGGGATTACAGATGTGCACCATGGCACTCGGTTCAAAAAATACTTGTATCTATTCATCTCAATTTAACATCTCCCAAGATGTCAATGTCTGCTCCAAAATGGAATTGCTTCTCTGTTACTCTACTTTTATAGTTTTTATCTTTCCCTTCCCACCATCACAAATACCTATCTTATCTGCCAGGAGATAACCTCTTGTATTTATCAGTTTCAAAAGTGAGTTTGTGAGTTTGTGTGGTATGCGTGTGTAATCCCAACTATTTAGGAGGCTGAGCCATGAGGATTGCAAGTTTGAGGCCAGCTTTAGCAATTTAGTAAAACTCTGTCTCAAAAAAAAAAAAAAAATGTCAAAGGAGTAGCTCTGTGACAGTGTCCTAGGAATAAACTGCCAGTATCAAAAAAACTTTTAAAAAAGGGCTGGGAGCCAAGTGCGGTGGTACACACCTGTAATCCTAAAGGCTTGGGAGGCTGAGGAAGGAGGATCTTAAATTCAAAGCCAACCTCAGTAATGGTGAGGTACTAAGCAACTCAGTGAGACCCTGTCTCTAAATAAAATACAAAATAGGGCTGGGGATGTGGCTCAGTGGTCGAGGGCCCCTAAATTCAACCCCAAGGAAGGAAGGAAGGAAGGGAGGAAGGAAGGAAGGAAGGAAGGAAGGAAGGAAGGAAGGAAAGAAGGAAGGAAGGAAGGAGAAAGAAAGAGAAAGAGAGAGAAAAAGAGAAAGAGAAAGAAAGAAAAAAGAAAAGAAAAAAGGAGTTGGGGCTGTAGCTTGGTGGTAGAGCAACTGCCTAGCATATTGCAAGACCATGGATTCAATCCCTCAGTACTACACACACACTCTCACAAAGAGCTTGCATGGATCTATGTGGCTCACCAATAGAATGCTTGCCTAGAAAGTTCAACCCTCTGGGTTCCATCCCCAGAACTGGGAGGTGGGAATGAACTTGTAAGCATATCTTATTTTCCTCTTCTACCCTTATCTCACTTAAGCATTTATTGCTTCACACATTTACAGGCTGCCTATCTTCAGAAGTTATTTATTATTTTAGGTATTGGGGATTGACCCCAGGTACTTTACCACTGAGCAAGTCCATTTTTTATTTTGAGACAGAGTCTTGCCAAGTTGCTAAGGGAGGCCTCAAATTTATGATTCACCTGCCTTAGCCTCCTGAGTAAATGGGATTACAGGCATGCACCACATAAATTGTGACTACAAGTGGGTGTCACTGCCAGCCCCACAACACTTATTTTAATTCTATTCCTCAGCCTCTCCAAACAGGAAATGGGAATGAGCAGCAGCACTTTCTGACCACCAGCCCTCTGGGAAATATATCAGGTGAAATAACTGCAAAAGTTAGATGGGTACGTGGCAGGTCATTAAAAGGACTGATTGCTTTTGCATACAGGTGATTTTCCTCCAGACATTCTTCCTATCTAAATTCCCTTGTCTACCACTCTGAAATGCTTCTTCCAGTAACTTGTATCCCTCTTGGTCTGCACAGACCACATTCACTACACAGTAAAAAACAAGCACATGAGACACTTTGCCAAAGTTAAAAGCGCATCAAACACGCCTAGCATTTATTATTTTAATCACAAACCTACAGACCCCTCAGTACACCCTCCTTGGGGCCTGGCCCCAGCAATCCAAAGCTGATGACCTTGGGTATAGGCAGCAGGAGAGGTGGGGATGGGTAAGGAGTGTCTCTTGATAACTCTGAAATGGGGGGAATCCTCCAAATGAAGAACTGAGTGAGGGCCAGAGGTTGGGGATAACCTAGCTTCTGAGTAGGGGGAACAATAAAAAATCAGTTAAACAAATGAGAGAGGGTACAATACACTTTTGCAACCCTTCCTCCAAGCCTCTGCCTTGTAAGGGAGACTGTCTTTTTCCTGGGCAGGGATCTCCCTGGAGGGGCCCTGTCCTTCACCCTGTTCTACATTTTGAACAACAGTACTGGGGTACTAGACAACTGGTCTGGATCCCCAGTAATCCCCATCATCTCCCCAAACTTTCCCTAAAGGAAGAAGACTGGACTCTACCCAATGGTAGAGGCTTAACTCTTACTCCAGATCTAGGTTGGAAGAATAAAACTGTAGAATTTCAAGATCTGTCCTCTTCCCCAAGAGCAGAGTTAGCTCAGAGCCCTCCTAGGTCAGGTCAGGTTGGTCCCAGGTTAAGGTGGGGAGCTTAAGTACTGCTCCTCCCTGCTGAGTGGAATGCTTGCATGAGATGTTGCTAAGTGCCAAGGGTAGGACTGTGGTCTTCAAGTGGGATCGCCTGCTCCTACTGACTCCTTCACACCTGAAACACCTGTGCTGGACTCTTCCTATAGGGAAGGGATAGAATGGGGCCTGGCCTCCATTCCCAGAAGGTCAGGACTCATGTTCCCATGGGAAGGGGCTGGGTCATGTCCTCATTTCTATTCCTTGTTTGGACAGGGAAGGGTTCATGGGGAAGGAGATGGGCTTAACCCCCCCAGGGGTGGGACCTCCTCTTCCAGTGCCAAGATGGGCTAGACTGGCAGATCCCAGGGAAGGGATGGAGCAGCATCCTGACATCTCCTATTCCCAGGAGACCTGGTTAGGAAGTCTTTAGCCGGCAGAGGTGGGACCTCATCCTGTCACCTTTGGTCTCCTGATCAAGGGTAGGGCCCATAGAGCAGGGACAAGGCTGTGATCCCCAGCAGACAGACCCTGATCTCACAGCCTTCTCCCTCTGAAATACCTGCACTGGGCTATGCCTTTGGGGGAAAGGGCAGACCCTCATCGGACTCCTCCTCCTTGACTATTACAGGGGTGGAGCCTGATCACATCTCTACTTCCCCCAAAATTCCTGGGCAGGGCAGTTTCATGGGAGGGTGGGGAAAAGGCAGGGCCTCATCCTGACTCCTCCTCCTTTCCTGGGTGGGGAAGGTCCCAGGGGAGGGGTGAGGCCTGATCAGGACTCTTCCTCCATGCTGAAGCTGCTGCGGCGGCTGCTGGCCTTCGAGACAGCCGGGGATACTGAAGAAAGCAGGGGGTCAGAGGCAGCCCGCAGTGGGGACAGGGCACCCCCCGACAGTCCTCCCACCACCCCCTCCTCCTCCTCCATCAGAATGTCCTCCAGCCCCAGGTGGAAGGGGTCTCCCAGGTCCCCCAGGTGGTCACTGGGAAAGTGCAGGTCCAGAAGAGCATCTGAAGGTGGTGCTGGGGGCTGCTGATGGGGAGCATTCTGGGCAGGTCCCCCTGCTACATGAAATGCTGCTGTGCCTGGCCTGCCCTCCTCCTCAATGTCCAGCTGCTCTGGCTTGAGGCTGTCAGAGGCTGAAGTTGTGGTTAGGGAGAGCAGCCCTGGGGTGGGAGGCACTGGCAAACCATGGATCTGGGCCTGCAGTTCTAGCTCCTGTAAAAAGTAGGGGATGGGTACAGAAAAAGATGGGGTTCTGAGTCTCCCAGAGGCAGAGGAGGGTATTGGTTAAAAATCCAGACTGCCTGAGTTCCAATTCAACCTCTGCTACTGGATAGTTTCAAAACTTTAGGCAAGTGGCTTAAAGTCTGAGCCTCAGAGTCCCAGTCTATAAAAGGGTTATAATAATGGTCCCCATCATCTCATATGACTGTTGTAAGGATTAATGAGTTAATGGATATAAAACTTGTTACAGTGTGTAGCACAAGATAAACACCATGTATTTTAGCTAATAGTCATAAATGTTATTAATGTTAGCTAACATTAATTAGTATTCTTATTAATGTTTTGATTATTATATCATCATCATCATCATCTTATGAATCAGGAAACCTGGAGAATCCCCCAAATATGCCAAGATGGGAAACCAGGTCTGTTCTTGCTCTGCCTCTGCCTGCAGGATCCTCCACTCCCACCCGGTCACCCCTGCCACCATCTCTTCCTTCTAGACCTGAATTCGAAGCTGCAGGCTGCGGTTGGCTTGCTCCAGGGACCGCTGTCGACTTTCCAGATCTTTGGAGCGCTGTTGCTCCTTCTGCAACTTGCGGATATAATCCACAGAGGCCTTCAGGATGGTGCCCTTGTTCCAGCGCATCTCTCTATGGGGCCCAAGGCGGAAGAAAAATGGAAAGGCTGAATATGGAGTCTCTCAAGAGGTGAGGGGGGATCATACCAGGTAAATGGAACACCCTACCAGATGCCCAGAACTTGAGGCAAGGCTACTCAAGGGTATGAAAACTCCCTGTCTAGAAAGGGTTTACACACCATACCCTAGAAGACCTGTGTGACCTGACCCCATCTGGATCCTTTGCCATATATGGCCCTCTTAATTTGTTGCACTACAGCCACAATGGCTTCTCATTGCTTGTAGAACATGGAAAACCATCCACATCTCAGGGCTTCTGCCCACCTGTGCCCTCTGCCTAGAATATTCTTCATCTAAACACCTACATGGCTACCTACCTAGCCTGCTTATGCTTTTTATTTCTTGTGTGCTGGGGATGGAATACAAGGCCTTGACCATGTGAGGTAAGCACTCTACCACTGAGCTATACCCCAGGCCCCCATCTTTAGGCTCTTAATTCAAATATTTCCTTATTAGCTGAAGTCTGTCCTGAGTTGAGGCCCACCTGTTCCACCCTTCTCACCCCAAAATATCACCTTCTCCACCCCAAACTCTCACCTTTCTCAATGCACCAACACTTTCCCACCTTCCTTCTGTTTTTTGCGAGTGTGTGTATGTGTGTGTGGGGGGGTGCTAGGGATTGAACCTGGGGCCTTGCACATGCTAGGGTGTAGCTCTACCACTGGGCTACACTACTACTCTTTTCATATTTTATTTTGAATCAGGGTCTCACTAAGTTGCTTAGGGCCTTGCTAAGTTGCTAAGGCTGGCCTCAAACTTGCAATCCAACTGCCTCAGCCTTCTGAGTAGCTAGAATTATAGGAGTGTGCCACTCTGCCTAGCTCCTTTCTGTTCTTTGTTTTTCCCCTGACACTGATCAAAATGTGAACCTCTCAGATTTTACTAATTCATCTTGTTTACTGTCTGTCTGCCCCAACTAAAACTTGAGTTCTATGAGGTCAAGGATCTCTGTCTCTCATTTTCCCTCTGGTATCCTCAGGGCCTACCACAGTACCTGATACAAAATAGAGGCTTAATAAATAAATCTTGAATAGAATAAATAAAGGAAGTACTAAGTGAATAGAACACTAGGTGCAATATATTCTGTAGGGAGCAGACAGGACATATAAACCATACCATCACACACTTAATATTTTAGATGGGCACACAGTGAGAGTCTGCAACCCTGCTCAGGCTGAGAAAAGACCAGAAGAGAACTGGCGCTTGGGCAAGACTTCATGGAGGGCCAATCAAAGAACAAATTCTTTAGCATGGGGCACCCACCACCTCCCACTGGCCTGGGATCCCCAGCCCAGACTCACGGGTCATTGGACTTGGGAATGAGGGTGCCCAACTCCTTGATCCTATCGTTAATGTTGAATCGCCTGCGACGCTCAACTTTGGAGGCAGGGAGAGAGAAAGAAAAGGTGAAAGAGTCATCAATGGGTAAAAGAGGGAAGAGAAAATGGGATGCTGGAAAGCTGGTATAGGGAGGGGGCTCCCCATGGAGAGAGGGCCAGAACTCAGAGCAAAGCAGGAATGTGTAGCGCATGGGCAAGCGTGCACACTCAGGCTTACTCAGGTTGTGATTGTCTTTCTTCTGGCGTTCCTTCAACAGGGCCTTTGCCTCGGTTTCTGGAAGAGAGCAGGGGTGGTAAAGGCCTCTGGACACAGAAAGAAGGAGCACATGCAGATACAGAGGTAGGGGTTGGTGGGCTGGGGACCAGGGAAGTGACTCCTTAAAGAGATGGGGTCAGACTGTGTTGCCCATGATATGAACTCCTGGGCTCAAGCAACCCTCCTGCCTCAGTTTCTTGAGTAGCTGGGACTATAGGTACAGGCCACCAAACTCAGCTTGAAGTGAATTGTTTTAAAAAGTGACTCTTCTTTATTATTTTTATGAGGACATGATGACAAGCCAGTTGTTATACCCAAGATGAGAAGAAGTGAGGTGAAAGCAGGACCATGGATCATATAAAGAAAATGCAAAAACAGCCCATTTCATTCTTGCTTGCTTGTTTTTTATTCCCCCTTTTTGGTACTGGGAACTGAACCCAGGGCTTCATGAATACCAAACAGACACCCTACTACTGAGCTACACCCCAAGACCTGGCAGGCATGGAGCTCAGCCCAAGGTACAAGGTGGGGGTATGAAGTCAAGATTCTGGTACTTACCAGAGATCTCCCGTTTGATGTTAGGCAGCTCAGCTGGACAGGAGTTGCTGACAGTGATGGCTGGCGTGGCCACACCCTGATTACTGTACACGTCAAGCAGATTCCCTGACACAGGCAGCTGAGGGCAGCGAGAACACAGACACAGTGGTTGGGAATAGGCCCCAGGCTCAGCCTCTCCTCAGAACCAAGCTCCTGACTGGCCCCACACATCCCAAAGACAGGGCCCTCTAATGCAAGGACTGGTTGTCCCAGGAACCCTTCCTTCTTCAAGGAAATTTCACATGGCAACCCAATGTGGGGGGACAGAGCAAAGTGGACCTCTTGTGCTTTGCTGAGTGACTAGAGCCTGCCTAGTATGCCTATCACCCCTACCAGGTCCCTCAAATCTTTTAGGGGATCTCCCAAAGCCCTCTCCCAAACCGCAGTGCTGGCCCTGAGAAGAAATGCTGGAAAACCACCATTCTCAGGTCTTTCTCAGCTCTGATGTGACATTCCAGTCTGATAGCTCCTCCCAGCACAACATTCCAATCCAACATTCTTGGAACACTCCAACCCAATCTCCTCAGACCTTGGTAAATTGTCATGGTAACATTCCACCCAAAATCTGGCCTTCTGGAGCATTCCAACCTAATCTTCAGTCTTTCACTTTGATCAAGTCATTCCACCTTAAATACCACACCATGTACCAAGGTCCTAACTCTAGGAAAATGACTCTAGGGACATTTTCCCACACATTCTGCTCTCAACTACTCAACAACTACCACTGCTTTTAGATCAGCCTAATGTTTTTCTTTCCTCTACACTCTCCTGGATCTACTCCAGTGCAACAAACCAGTATAAAAGTACACCCAAGTCCCACCTCTTGATGAATTGTCATGTTTTGACACTTCCTTATCTGTCTGATATAAGATCCCAATCCCTGTGTCAAAATCAATGAAAACTTCTGGACTGGGGATGTGGCTCAGTGGTAGAATGCTTGCCTAGTGTGTGAGAGGCCCTAAGTTCAATCCCCAGGACCACACAAATTAAAAAAGAAAAAGTTCTAATAAACTGGTACCAATTTTTTGTAGTACTGGGAATAGAACCCAGGTCTTCACACATGCTAGGCAAACACTCTACTGCTGGGCTATACCCCCAGATCCAAACTGGTACTATTTTTATACATTCTTTTTGGGGGAGAGTACTAGGAATTAAACTCAGAGGCACTTTACCCCTGAGCTACATCTATAGCCTGTTTTATTCTTTTATTTTGAGATAGGGTATTGTGAAGTTGCTGAGGCTGGCCTCAAACTTGCAATCCACCTGCCTTAGCCTCTCGAGTTGCTAGGATTATAGGTGTGTGGTACCATGTCTGGACTACAAATGCTTCTATCCTTTTGATAAGTGGGAACAAAGTCAAATCATAGCTATTTATGTATATTGCAAAGCAAGCTATGAGATCCTTATAATGTACTAGTGTCAGAATGTTATAACAGTACATCCCTTATTCCAGAAAGTTTTACTCATTCTCTACTAGGGCCTCGCCTCTTGGCCCAGTACACTACAAGATACCACTTGTTACAACCCACACCAAATTTTGAGCCTTTGGGCATGTTCCAGTCAATACATGGTCTGGGGATGCCCCAAACATCTGACTCCCTTGGGATATTCAAATTGCTATATGATTCTTATCTCTTGGTACTTCTATAGGAAAGCCCAAGTGCTTTGGTATGCCTTAATATCTCCATAAACTCCCTTCAAAGTCTATAAGGGCCTCCGCTTCACATAGTCCAATACAAGGCCCAAGGGCAATACTATGCCATATTCTCATCATAGGGCCTCCCTCTCTACCTTAGTACAATCAATGGCAAGGGTCTCATATATACACAGCCAACAAATTAGGGTGTATTCTTAGTGATAAAAGGATGCCCTAATTTTCAGACCAATCAATCACCCGTCTCAAGGCCTCACCGTGCTGGGGAGCTGCAGCCCTGCGGTGCCTCCGGGCAGGTAGCTGAGCATCTCATCATTGTAACTGGACTCCAGGCTGATGATCTCATCAATGACATCATCAATCTGGGGGTAAAAGTAAATATTGTACAGGGTTAGAAGGATTGGAAGGGAAAGCTGGGGGTACAGTTTAGTGGTACAGCACTTGCCTAGCATGTATAAGGAAGGCCCTAGGTTCCATCCCCAGCACCACAAGAAAAATTGGAAGAAGGGCATGAGAGAGTTGTCTACAGCCTTTTACCTCCTTCTCTGAGCTGGACCCGATGGTGAGCAGTGCCATGGGGCTGTTGGGAGCGCTGCCTGTGGGACCAGTGGTGTGAGCAGCCTCAGGGGCAGGCAGCGGCTGGGCACTGGTGGGCCCTGGTGGTGGGGTGAGGGCCTGGGAAGCCAGCTTGGGCCCAAGTGTAGTGGACAGGTACTGTTTCACCTGCTGCCGGCGTGCCTGCTGCAGGTGGTAGCGCGTTGGGTTCTCCAGGTGGGTCTGTACCTATGAGATAAGAAGGACGGGGCAGGGAGGGGACAAGGTGGAACAGTATCAGAGGGGTGATTCTGAGCCCCAGCCTAATCTTCCTGACTCCTCTGTTCCTAGGTTTAGGTATGCAAACTGGGTCCAGAATCTGAAAACCCGTAAAAAACATTGATGAATCTTGCCAGGCGCAGTGGCGCACACCTGTATTCCCAGCTACTTGGGAGACAGATGAGAGAGGATCATAAGTTAGAGGCCAGCTTGGGCAACCTGGCGAGACCCTACCTCAAAATAAAGAATAAATAGGGGTGGGAGTATAGCTCAGTGATAGAGCATATCTGGGTTCAATCCCCAGTACTGGAAAAAAATATTGGTGAATCTGACCAAAGACCTAATCCCTTGCTCAAAAATCCTTCATAGTCCCTAAGATCCACCCACAGCTGACCAGAACTCTCAGTTTCTAGATCACCTTGTCACTGTTCCCAAGACTCCCCTAGAATCTCTGACACCATCTAACAACTCCCCTGGAGTCTCTAACACCACCTAACATCTGGAAACTACACATGGTTTTCCAAAACACCCTAATCACCAAAGAATTACACACACACACACACACACACACACACACACACATACACTCACTCACTCATGAGAAGCTCATCCTACAAAGCCAGTGCCCACCTGGGGCTTGGATGATCATCCGTGGTCCACCAAGATATCCTTGTAGCCCCTAAGAACTACTCACAAGTCCACAAAAATACCTCAGAAACCCTAAACACATAGGACATTAGCACAAACCATTTAAACACTACCAGGGACCTTCTTTACAGACCCTAGAACCTCATCCAAAAAGACACTAGGACCCCAGGCCACCCCTAGCTCTTAGGACCACTTATTTGACACCTGGAGTAACTCTCAGGGTCTCTAGACCTCACCTTACCTTGAGCACCTCCCTGGGCACCTGAGCAGGGGGTGGACGGCCCAACGTGTGGCCCCCAGCAGAGACTCCAACCACAGAGATGGCAGGAGAGGCAGGTGCAGGACTGGGGAAGGAAGCAGCTGCAGCCTGTTCGCGACGCTCACGCCTCTCCTGCTCCTGTGCCTGGGCTCGCATGAGTTGTTGCCGCAGCAAGACCCGGGATGAAGAAGATGACGACATGGCAGGGGTCCTGGAGCCCCCTGCAGAAGACGATGTAGAGAGTGTAGCTGGGGTGGTTGGTGTGGCCTGCAGTGATATTGGGAGGCTGTGGAATGGGAAATATGGGGCCATACGTAAGCTAAAAGTCTCTTCCCGTGTCTAAGGGTCATAGTGTGCTGGAATAGACAGACACAGGAGCCAGGCAGATTCTTTGCCTTCGGAGGCTACAATGTGGAGGGCAAAACAAAGGAACCAGGCCTGTTTGCAGCCCTCAGGGGTCAGAGTGGAATCAGACTCCGTGTCAGCATTCAGAGTTCAGACTAGTGGGGGAATTTTTTTAGCCCTCACTCCTAATAGTGAAGCCTAGGTTTGAGCCAGTTCATATCGTACATGGAGATGCCATTGCTAGGCTCTGCAAGAGGGGCGTATCCCATTTAAAGGTCGAGTGGAAGCAGAATTCAGATTGCAGCAATGGACAAGGTATGCAAAGGACTCCTAAATCCAATTTGGGGCTGCAGATGCTCTTGGAGCTCCTGGACATGGGCATCAGGATAAAAGGGCAGTCTCGGGCACCCCCTTCCTTCCCTGTTAGGGCCTCTGGTCCCAGGAGCTAGTCAGTCTTGAAAATCTCAGAGATTTCACAATCCTCTCTTCCTGCCCCTCTTCCAGGTCCCCTCCCCTCTCTTAGAGCTCAGGCCGATGACTCAGCACATTTAGACTACCAGGCTAGGGGAAAGAAGAGAGTAGTAGGGGTTCCTCCAGAGATTAGGGTGGGTGGGCTTGTAACGTGTGGGCGGGGCTATGGTCATGACTCCGCCCACCTAGGGCGGGAATTTACGCAGGACATTCCCTTCCACTGGGTGCTCCAGGCCTGCAAGAATATTTGTGTATCCATGGGTGGGTAGGTATAGTTAAGGAAGGCAGGGGAGTTCTGATCAGAGATAACATAGTTTGCCCACCTGTTTCCCTGTGTGACATGCTCTTTTAGGGCCCTGATTTTACTATCTAGAAAATACAGGCTGCTGAGAGAATGAGTTGGGCTAGCACTGAGGGACTCTTGCCCTGTAGGGAGGGGAGGCTGAGGAACTGGGGTGGGGGGTATCAGGTAGGCCAGTCATACCTGGAGCGTAGGGGTAAGGGTTGGCTTTTGAGCTCGTAGAAGCTGTCAGGATCAAGGATGTTTTCTAATTCAATGTCAGCAACAATCCCAGATTCCGGAAGCAAAGAGTTCAGGCTGAGGGTGGGAAGGAGGGAGGGGGGTGGTCAGTGATTATAGGGAAAACTCATTCCTTTGCTTTTTTCTGAGACAAAGAGGGAGGGAGCCCTCAAGCATACTTGGCCACCTTGCTGGGTTACCTCCACCGAGAATCCCTTCATCTGTTCCCCATCCCCTTTCCTCTCCTAACTCTTTATTTCTGAGTTATCCATGGTCCCTTAAGAGCCAGAATAATGAATGCCTGAATCCCAACCCCTTCACTCTAACAATCACATGTAGCAGCAACCAGAGTTTGAGAAAAACAGAATTTAGGAATTACAATTCACTTCAAAGCATTCCTGACTTTAAATTCAGAGTTCTCCCAGACACACCCCCATCCCCTACTGTTCTGACAGTTGAATGTTAGCCTATGTTTGGATCTACACAAACACACACACACCTAGGGGCATCCCTCAGCATAACTGTCCAATGTAACACTAACTGCATGCATCACAAAGACAACTGGAGACCATTCACTTTATCTAAGAGCTACCCCTTTGCAAGTGAGTTTTCCCCAGCCCCAGCCAGAGTTTACGAGACATTAATACACACCCAAATATAAAAGTGGAAACATGAAAGGCTCCCTCACTCCAACAATTTGGATTTACAAGAGAGAGAATTTGGGTGGATGATCTGCTTTATATGAGCATTCATTTCTTAGCTGGAGGAACCTATCCAGTTCTCTCCTGTTTTTCTGGGGATAGATCAAGACACAGACACACACACACACACACACACACACACACACACACACACACATCTCCAGTATCAAGATCCACTGGCACACAAAACAAGAAGCCATGCACACCCCTCCCTTCAAACTGTGCCCACTTCTGTGATGATCCAGGTTACTATAAGGAATTAGAAGATGGTAAACCCAGAAAGGTTCCTGCTCAGCCCTCCATGCTGGGTACAAGAACCCTAGTGCCCAGGGAACACTTACACACATGTGGATGAATATGCATCCTTGAATTTAGTCAAAGATTTAAAATCCTGAGACTGAGGGTGACTTCACTTGATAAGAATCCTCTCCCCTCCCCAAGGATCTGTCTTCCTTCCACTCCTCACTTTCAGATGGGGCCCTAAAACCACCCAGGAAGTAGGGAAGAGGAAGCTAGGGGAGCCGCTGAGGTCAGCACAATCCCAGGCAGAAAGGAGGCAAAGCCCCCTCCCATGCTCACACACCCATTGCACAGAAGTTGAAAGAGATGGGGTGCTGGGGTGGGCAGGGAGAGATGGAGCTCCAAAAAGGGTTGATGAGAGTGGGAATGAGAAGAAGCCAGAGAAGAGAACCTACCCATGCCGGGATGGTGCAATCAGTACTCACTCCAGCTCTAGGGACAGATTCAAGATTACCCCCCCCCCAGCCCGAGACAGACTGGGAGGGCCAGATGAAAAGAAGAGGGAGTGTGTGGGTAGTGAGTGGGCAGGGCTGGTTGAAAGGCGTGAGTGGCAGCAGGAACAAGACCCTCCTCTGGGTTCCCAAATAAGGTCTGAGGCCTGCCGGGAGCTTCCTACTCTACCGGGTGATCTCCCATTCAAGCCTCTGCAGGGTGTGGGATCTGACTGGGTGGGCAAGGGTAACAGGATTATTCTGGACAAGTCTTGGTGAATGTTACTTCTCTTGCTCACTCACATACACACACAAGATTGGTATCACACCGTATAACTGAAATACCCTCCAGTCTCTCCAGATTCAAGTTATTCCCAAACACATCAACCAATCACTGGGAGTCACTAAGGTCCCAAAACAGCACCTCTGCACCCCATGATCTTTCTTTCACAGAGAGAAAGGCTCCAGGATTTCCTTAAAATCAGTATATCCTCAATCAGTGTACCTGACAATTCCTTTCATGCCCAACTCAAGGACCCCACATTCAGACTCTAATTAGTCCCCCAAGTTCTGATACCTCAGACTAGTTTCTGGATACTACAGAATCTGCCATTCTAGACCCAGTCAAGGGCCCCCCAAATCTGACCCTGCCCCCCTTAATGCACTCTCACGACTCCTTTAAGCCTCAGTCCAAGCAGGCCACCACAAGATTCCTTAGGTGCCCCCCCAAGATCGGCGCCCCAACGTCCTCCAAGCCTAGGCCAAGGGCCTACAATCCCAGTCAGGGGTCCCAATGCTCTCAGATGAGGGCCCCCCCCCCGGACACCCCAGTTAGCACTCCCGGCCCCAGGCAGCCCCGCACCTGAGCAGCTGGGCGGAATCGGCCGGCCTGCGCTCCTCCAACAGCACGAACACGGCTCGAGGGCCCTCCTTGTTGGCCTCTACGCCGTCCCGAGCTGGCTCGGCCGCATGAGACATGACGCCCGGCCCCGGGCAAGCCCTGCCAGGCCGGTCGGGCCTCGGCCCGGTCCCCCTAACAAAATAAGAGTCCCCCTCCCCCCGCTCGCCACCGCCTCCTCCTCCGCTAAGCCATGGAGCTAGCTCTGCGCGGGCGGGCGGCGACGGAGAGATGGGATGGGCCGTGAGTCATCCCCCGCCCTGAACGGACCGACACCCCCCCCACACCTAACCCCGGACGACCGCCCTCCTCCCCCTCGTCCTCTTCCCCCTCCTCCCTGAACTGGGGAAACTCCACAGGAAGTGACCACACTGGGGATGGACAGCTCATATAGCCACACCCCTTAGTGAAGCATCCAATCGTTGAGATGAGACTCCAGGGGCCCGCCCTAAGACACGCCTTTGAGGCGGACTGAACCTTGAGTTCGACCCGCCCTCATTCAGGGAGGGGGCACCTAGACCACGCCCTCAGTGACGGAGGCAAATAGGCGAGGGGTGATTTGGTTGAGTCACGCCTCCATGTTTGCATCGGTGTCTGAGCCACGCCTCCCCTTCTCAAATTATCCCTCCGCAAGATAATATTAAGCCGCTCCTCGGCTTTTCTGCGTCTGCGCACCAATGACCAGTCGGCTAGCCGAGGGTCTCCAGGCCAAGCATTTAGCTTCAGGAACCGCGCCCTCTCCCGGTTCACGTTTGCAATATCTGCGTCCTATACCGCGCTACAACCTCGATTTCACCGTGCCTTCTCAGCCAAAGCCTTAATAACTACGAGGCAGAAGCAGCTACACTTCCTGGAGGTGTTGGCCAGAAACCCTGCCCTTTCAGTACCCACAGTCCAGTCCCTCATCTGTCATGTTCTCTGTTATCTAAAGTAGTTATTGTACTATGGTCGTTGTTCTACAGAATAGATGCTTAATGAATCCTTGATGAATCCTTGACCAGTGACTTGTAGAATCATAGGGAGCCAGGTTTGAATATGGTAGGGGACTTCCCTTCTTGGAGCCTTCGCTTTCCAGACCTGTCAAATGGAATCAAAATACCTGTCTGAGCCAGGCGCGGTGGTGCACGTCTGTGGCTCTGGAAGCTGAGGCAGGAGCATCACAAGTCCAAAGCCAGCCTGGGCAGTCTAACGATACCCTCAGCACTTAGAAAGACCCAGCCTGAAAATAAGAAATAAAAAGATCTGGGGATGTACTTCAGTGGTAAAATTGCCTCTGGGTTCAGTCGTCAGTTAAAAAAGCAAAGAAAAATGAAAAAGAAAAAAACTATATTTTGAAACAGGGTCTTGCTAAGTGTCCCAGGCTGGCCTCAAACTTCATTTTTCCTGCCTCAGACTCTCAGTTGGAGAGTTCTTGCTTAGCATGTAAAATGCCCTGGGTTCAATCTTCAGGACCTCAGAAAAAATCAAAATTGGGCTGGGAGTGTGGCTCACCCCAACTCTAAGCCCAGCTCTGAAAACATAGACCTCACAAAAAAACCCAAAAGATTTTTATGGTGCCCTACATATGCAAGAATGGATAATTTTATGATAGAAGAAAAAAGAGGAGGACATCATCTTAAGAGATTAAAATATTACAGCTGGGGGCTGGGGTTGTAGCTCAGTGGTAGAGCACTTGCCTCGCATTCATGAGGCACTGGGTTTGATCCTCAGCACCACATAAAATAAATAAATAAAATAAAGATAATCTGTACACCTACAAACTAAAAAAAAATTAAAAAAATATTACAGCTGGCAGAATAGCACATGCCGTAATCATAGTGGCTCAAGAGGCTGAGGCAGGATGATCACAGTTCAGCAATTTAGGGAGACCCTAAGCAACTCAGTGAAACCCTGTCTCTAAATAGAGTACATAAAAAGGGCTGGGGGATGTGGCTCAGTGGGTAAGCGCCACTGCGTTCAATCCCCGTACCAATATATATATGTGTGTGTGTGTGTGTGTGTGTGTGTGTGTGTGTGTGCGCGCGCACACAAGTAAATTACAAAGCCCTAGTCATTAAAATGTGGCTGGGATCCCGACACTATGATGCATGCCTATAATCCTAGTGACTTGGGAGGCTGAGGCAGGAGGATCACAAGTTAGAGGCCTGCCTCTGCAATTCAGCAAGGCCCTAAGCAATTTAGTGAGATCCCTGTCTCAAAATTAAAAAAAAAAATTAAAAAGGGCTGTGTATGTCACTAGTGGTGAAGCACCCTTGGTTCAATCATGAGTACCATAAATAAATAAATAAACAAACAAACAAACAGCTAGCACTGTGGATGTTGCTCCTGAGTTCAATCCTGAGAGTACCCCTGAGTTCAATCCTCAGTACCAGAAAATGACATCGAAAATGGTGACTTGGGTCCTGATTAGTAAATGGTATTTCTTCCCCATCCACTCCCCTCCCCCTTCTCCTTTTCCTCCTCTTCCTTCTTTCCTCCTCTTCCT